AGCCCCCGGGGCTGCCTGGAGAGCATCCCGGACTGGAGCGACTTCGGCGTGGACGACGCGCACTCGGAGCCCCCGGGGCTGCCTGGAGAGCATCCCGGACTGGAGCGACTTCGGCGTGGACGACGCGCACTCGGAGAGCCCGGAGGAGCCCCCGGGCTCGGGGCAGGACCCGCAGTGACAGCCCTGGGGACACCCCCTGCCTCCCCAGGACCTGCTCCCTCGCTGGGAGAGGGGGCACTGTGGCAGCAGGGGGGTGACTGGGCTGCCCTGGGCACACGGCTCATCCCGGGCTCTCTCCCTGCTGATCCCGCCTGTCCCGGGCAGGGTTTGAATCCCCCAGAAGGGATCTGGTGGGGGGTGGAACCCGTGTTTGTTGTTCCCACGGCCTTTGCCCTCTGGCTGGAGCAGCAGCAGGGCTCAGTGGGGTGGCAGTGCCACCTCCCTGCTCCTGGCACATCCCAGGGCAGGGTGGGATCCGCTGCCCGATGGGAAAAGGGCTTTCCTTGGTGGATCCAGGGCCAGCCGCCCTCTCCAGTTTAGCCCCCTGTGCCCCCCCTCCCTCTGCAGCTCCTGGGGAGGGGAGAGGGGGCTCAGCTGCACCAACCCAGAGCCCACACACGGGCTGCAGATCCCACCCCCACCCCCGGGGCCTCCTGGCACAGCTTTCCCTCCCTGCAGGTTGGTTTCTGCAGCTGGAAAAACGGGAGCTGAGCTTTCCCCCCGGGCAGGGAATGAGTCGGGTGGGGGGGCGAGCAGTTTGTCACCCCTGCCCTGGGAGGGGGTGTCCCTTTCCAAGTGGGCTTGGATTTGCTGGGATGAGAAGGAGCTGCTCCTGCTGCCCCTCCCCGTGTGGTCCTGCCCCGTCTCCTCCCCCGGCCCAGCCCCGGGTCAGGCGGGGCTCGGACGTGCTCGGACTCCAAATAAAACCGAAGCAGGAGAAGCTGCCGGGTCCGGCTGGGTGGTGGTGTGGGCGGGGGCCGGGCCGGGAGAACTGCGGAGCCAGGGATTTTGGGAAAACGAGGAGGGGAGGATGGCACCTTCCCCACACCAGCAACGCCAGCGCGGCTCCCCCTGCCCCGGGCACCGGGGGGGCACGGATGAGGGTCTGCCCTGAGTTCTGGGGGGGTTTTTGGATGCACCAGGGAGGGGGAGGGAGGGAGGGAGGGCTGGAAAGCCCTTGGAGGCGCATCCGA